CTGTAGTTTCAACCAACTAAATAATTTCTAAGTGAAGAGAGGAGAGAAACAAATATTGTATTGTATTGAACTCTTTGTTGTGTTGATATCTAAACAACAAATACCTTACCCTATATATACTATTCTCCCATAGACCTTTGAACTTTTCAAGACAATGCTCAACCACACATATGATGCATGCACACACTTGATACATGTACACTCTTGATACATGTATCCACTTGATACATGTACAATAATAGATGCATGAATGAACATATACATGAATGAACATGGCATTAATTATTTTTAACACACCCCCCTTAATGCCATGTTGTGACACCCAACAATTCTCTAAAGTATTCAAACTTATTTTTTGGAAGTGCTTTGGTAAAAATGTCCGCAACTTGATCTTCAGTCTTATAATACTTGAGTTGAATCTCTTCATTCTCCACGGCTTCTCTAATGAAGTGATGCTTGATTGCAATGTGTCATGTGCGACTATGGAAAATAGGATTCTTTGTCATAGCAATTGTGGATTTGTTGTCACATAAAATTGGAGTAGCTTCTCTTTGCTTCTCACCAAAATCTTCAAAAATTCTCCTTAGCCATATTGCTTGTGACGCTGTCATTGATGCTGAAATATACTCAGCCTCGGCAAAAGATTGCGTAACTGTTTCTTGCTTTTTAGATGCCCATGAAAATACACCCGAACCAAGAGAGAATGCATAACCGGAAGTACTTCTCATATCATCAACAAATCCGGCCCAATCACTATCACAAAAACCAAACAGCTTTGCATCAACATTTTTCTCATACAAGATGCCAAAATCAAGTGTACCTTGTATATATCTCAATACCCTTTTTGCAGCCCCAACATGAATTTGACTTGGATTGTGCATAAACCCAGATAATAAGCTTGTAGCATACATGATGTCGGGTCTTGAAGATGTTAAATATAATAGACTTCCAACCAAACTTCTATAGAGAGATACATCTGCTTCTTTACTTCCATCTTCTTTTATTAATTTTTCATTCACAACCAAGGGAGTGCAAACGGATTTGCAATTCAACATTTTGAATTTTTCAAGAAGAGTTTTTGCATACTTCTTTTGACAAATAAAAACTCCTCCTTCTTTTTGATAAATTTCAATGCCCAAGAAGTAATGCAACAAACCCAAATCACTCATTTCATATTTTTTCATCATCTCTTTTTTAAAATCATCAATCATTTTTTCATCACTTCCGGTAAATACCAAATCATCAACATAAAGAGAAATAATAAGAATCCCAGTTTTACCTTGTGTCTTGTAGTACAAGGTTGGCTCACTTTTGCTCCTTTGAAAGCCTTTTGTGATGAAGTAAAAATCAATCTCACTATACCATGCCCGGGGTGCTTGTTTTAGGCCATACAAAGCCTTCTTTAATTTGTAAACTTTCTCTTCTTCTCCTTTTGCAACAAAGCCTTGAGGTTGTTCTGCATAGACATCCTCTTTCAAAACACCATTCAAGAAGGCTGATTTTACATCAAGTTGATACTAGGACCAACCATTTTGAGCCGTCAAGGCAATGAGTGCTCTAATTGTGTCAAGACGAGCCACGGGTGAAAAAGTTTCTTGAAAATCAATTTCGGGTTGTTGTGAATACCCTTTTGCTACAGGTCTTGCTTTGTTCTTTTGAATGGAGCCATCCAGATTGAATTTTGTTTTAAAAATTCATTTCACACGAATCACATCTTTGTCTTCCGGCTTCTCTACTAACTCTCAAGTCTTGTTTTTCTCAATCACATAAATTTCATCTTCCATAGCTTTCTTCCATGCCTCTTGTTTAATTGCTTCTTCAAAGTTCTTCGGTTCAACAACACAAAAATTGTAACTTGCATACACATTACTAAAACTTTTCATTCTTCTTGGAGTTGAACTTGGAGATGAGGAATTTGAGTTTAATGGAGAAGTTGGGATTGATTGTAAGCTAGATACGGGAGACATTTCTTGTGGAACTTCAAAAAAAACTTCATTTTCATTTTCTTGATTTCTTGATTCTTCATTGAAAATGGGGATTTGATCTTGAACTTTCTTCTCTTTCCAATCCCAAGCAGCCTTCTCATTAAAGAGAACATCTCTACAAATAATCAATTTATTCTTCTTCAAATTAAAGAGTCTATAACCCTCAAAGATGCATTTTTCACTAGCTTCATCAAGTTTATGCCTCACTTCTCTTGGAACATAAGCAAAACAAATACACCCAAAAACTTTCAAGTGTTTCAATGATGGCTTCCTTCCACTCCATGCTTCAAATGGAGTTTTATTCTCCACCGCTTTTGTTGGACTCCTATTCATTAAGTAAGCAGCCGTATACACGGCTTCACCCCAAAATGATTTAGGTAGCCCCTTCTCATGAAGCATTGATTTTCCCATCTCAATGATTGTTTTATTTTTCCTTTCTGCCACTCTATTTTGTTGTGGAGTGTACCCAACTGTTAATTGCCTCTCCAAGCCAATATCTTCACAAAACTTTTCAAACTCATTTGAGTTGTATTCTCCACCTCTATCACTTCTTAACACTTTGATAAGATGCCCACTTTGCCTTTCAACAAGCTTTTGAATTTTTTTGAAAATAGAGAATACATCTGATTTTTGTCTCATGAAATAAATCCATATCATTCTTGAAAAATCATCAACGAAAATAATAAAATACTTGTTACCCACTTGAGTTGGTGTTTTCATCGGTCCACACACATCGGTATGAACAAGCTCCAATGGTGCTTTAGCCCTCCATGCCTTCTCTTTCGGAAATGACTCTCGGTGATGCTTACCAAGAGCACAACCTTCACAAACTTCTTTAACTTCTTGTATTGTTGGCAGCCCATACACCATGCTATTTTGTTGTAAATTCTTTAAGCTTTGGAAATTCAAATGGCCAAGTCTTCTATGCCAAAGCCATGACTCATCAACAACATCCATCTTCAAGGCCATATTTTTTGAACATGAAAAAGTGAGAGGAAAGCTTTTATTTTTGCCCATCTTGATTTTTGCCATAATATGATTTTGTCCTCCCTTGTCATAAATTTTGCAAGAGTCCTCATCAAAATGAATGGAGTACCCATGCTCTACAAGCTGTCCAACACTTAACAAATTTTATTCCAAATCCGGAACAAGTAACACCTCCCGAATATGCTTTCTTCCTTTTTTTTTGTCTCTATGGCAATAGTACCTTTTCCCTTTGCTTGGACCAAGGCACCGTTTCCCATCCTCACTTGAGAATTGGATGAAGAATCAATCTCCAAGAATATGTTTTTATCTCCGGTCATGTGGTTACTACACCCACTATCAAGAAACCACACATTATCCTTTTGTTCCGATGTCGAGTGACAAGTATAAAACATGCTCGCTTCACCTTCTTGCTCTTCGGAAAAATTCGCTTGCTGATTTGTTTTCAACCGGCAATCTTTTTGAACATGTCCAAATTTCTTGCAATTGAAACATTGAGGTTTTCCCCGAAACCAACAATCTTTGTCAACATGGCTACTTCTCTTGCAAATTCCACAATTTTGTTGAATGGACTCTATATTTTCACTTCTCTTCAAATTATTTCTTCCTCTTCCTCTTGAATTTCTTCCTCTTCCTCTTTCGTGTCTTCCACCTCTAGAAGATTCACCTTTGGATTGATCAAAACTTGATGGGTATTTTTCTTGATTTTTGGAACTAACATTGAGCTTGGATTGAAAAGCACTTTCAATTGTCTTTTCGGAGCGCCTACTCAACCTTTGCTCAAATGCTTTTATGGAACCCATCAATTCTTCAACACTCAAGTTTTCAAGCTCTTTAGTCTCTTCAATAATAGCAACAATAGAGTCATATTTTTCCAGCAAACTAATCAGAATTTTTTCAACAATTCTTTGATTAGAAATATCTTCCCCATAAGTCTTCATTTGATTTACTACCTCCATAAGTTTAGAAAAATAATCTTTCAACAATTCCATTTCTTTCATCTTCATATTTTCAAAATCTCTTCTCAAAGATTGGAGTTTTACAGTTCTTACCTTCGTGCTGCCTCTATACTCCTCGAGAATATCCCATGCCTCCTTTGCTTTAGAAGCATTGATAATTCTGGGAAAGATTGTATCAGCAACTCCTTGTTGAATCAAGCCTAAAGCTTTTGCATCTTTCTTCTTATGATCTTTTAATTGTTGTCTTTGGGCATTCGTCAAAGTTGTTGTATCCTCCGGTTCATCATACTCATCTTCAACATAATCCCATAAATCATATGATAGAAAAATGGTCTTCATCTTCACATACCAAAAATTATAATTTTCCCCATCAAAAATGGGAAGTGCTAATTGATGGGCACCTTAATTTTGATTGCTTGTAGTCGCCATCACGATGGATCTTCTTCGGGTTTTGTTTTCCCGTCAATAAGCTTCACACCCAGTTTGCTCTTGATCGAAATCAATCTCTGATACCACTTATGTTGGCTATAGTTTCAACCAACTAAATAATTTCTAAGTGAAAAAAGGAGAGAAACAAATATTGTATTATATTGAACTCTTTGTTGTGTTGATATCTAAACAACAAATACCTTACCTTATATATACTATTCTCCCATAGACCTTTGAACTTTTCAAGACAATTCTCAACCACACATATGATGCATGCACACACTTGATACATGTACACTCTTGATACATGTACAATAATAGATGCATGAATGAACATATACATGAATGAACATGGCATTAATTATTTTTAACATATGCACCCCAAAAAGCATGGCTTAGAGCAGACAGAGCTAATAAGAAGTTCTTAGAAGATCAGAACTTTACTTAACAAAAAAAAAAAAAAAAAAAAAAAATGAAGATCAGTACTTCAACAGAATCAAATTGTATTCCATTACCAAACTCACGGTAATTTATTTACATCGCGTAGCATGTATAAGATAGAGCTACAGATGAATGTAAAAATGTTGCATGTGTAACATAGAGCTACAGATGAATGTAAAAGTGTTGCATGTATAAGACTGAGCTACAGATGAATGTAAAAATGTTTAGTTTCATCACTGCGACAAATTGAGAACGTTGAATCTGCAGTTCCGTTTCCATAATCAACAGTCACCTTATATTCACCTAAGAATCCGGAGAAGCTATACGAACCATATTCATCTGTATGACCTTCCAGAATCCCAGTTTGCCATTCTTTCAAAAGCTTGTCAACCACATCACCAGCAGGGAGATTACGGAATTCATTGTCAGTAAGGCACATCCGGAAACAACCATCTGCACGCATGGCAGTCCATAGCATTATCCCATTTACAGAGGGATGTGAGAAGCTCTCTCTCAGTACTTCTTCTAGATGAACAGCCTGTAAGAGAAGGAAATAAAAAGATAAGTTTGAACTTTGGAAATGTGGCCTTTTAGACATAATTCTATAGATAATTTTGAACCTTTTTGGTATAAGAAAATAAAATATCAAAGCCACCAAATTCAATTTATCCACAACTGGGAGCACAAGTGATATTATACTTGCTCACCTGCACTTCCATAGATACTGTGTTGTTGACATCGATCTCTGTAAGCCAAATCGGACGCCTTAGCGTGGCCAGCTTGTCTAGACCAGCTCTCAATAGCGGAAGGTTAGGCTCTGTGAAGTGACCCTCTAGGCCGATTCCACCCATTGACACTCCATCTCGTTCGAGTTCTCTCATCCGCGAAATGTAGCCGTCCACACTGGATCTACTGTCACTACAAGTCTCCACAACATTAAACTCGTTCAGAAACAGCGTTGCCAATGGATCTGATTGGTGTGCTGTCTCGAAGAAATGCAAGGAGGCATTAGGACCAAGCTTTTGCTCAAAGAAATTAAAATGAATATTTTCATTGCTAACATCCCAGTGTATGAATTCTTCTCTATATTTGCTCATTAAACTTTCAATTCGGGAGTCGACAGCTGATTGCAGTTCATAACTTGTGAGGTTAGCAAGCCATGTTGGAATATACTGAGGGTCCTCCCAGAAGATATTGTGTCCTCTGGCAATAATTTTGTTTGCACGGAGAAATTCCAACATCTGGTCTGCTAAAGTGTAGTTGATCTGTCCCTGTTTAGGTTCTGTAGTGTACCACTTGAGTTCATTCTCGAAAACTGCTGCATTGAATCTCTCAACAAACCAGTTCTGAAACAATTCAAGGATTTTATTGTTTTAGCTTTCAATGTAAATATGATCACGGGGCACATAAAAATGGCTCTAAAAATATTGGAATGGATGAGCTACATGACAGTAACATAATTAGTTTTTTATTTTTTATTTTTTATTTTTATTTTTAAAGTATTAACTAGTCAAGAACTGCTTTACCAGTCAGAATCTCTTTCCCTTTGTTGAATTATAATGTTTTGATTCTGAATCTTCCTAAATGTTTAATCTAAAAAATATATGTATCTATATACATTGCAGTTACCTGATAAGGCTTATTGCCAATGATAGTCCCGGCTATGGCAGATCCAAATGGGAAGTCTTTAGACACTTGCTCTACTCTAACTGTTGCTCCTTTCAACCTATCTCCAAGTTCATCAGACACATGGATTGTCACGGCACGCTTCCTTTCCTGGAAAACAAGAAAATTTTGGAATTGCTTGATTTTATTCATAAATGCAGTCCCTTTTTTTAATTAGAAAAGACAAGAAAATTAGAATCTCATAAGATTTTTAAAAACTGAGCAGGATGTTTTTCATATTCCTGTAGACTTAAATATTCCTTTCATTGGCTAACTTCTTTATGGCAATCAACTGCTGCTCAGTAAATGGCTGCAGAGAAGCATAAAAATACGAATGTTTGTAGCATTTACAGTGTTTATTATGTAATCCTGATTCATTCTCCACTGCTGCTCAGTAAATGGCTGCAGAGAAGCCCCTGCAATTTCTATACCAATGTCTGTGTCATTTGAATTCTGCAACGGAAATAAAGAAGAGATGAAATATAGAATTTTAGTATCTGTTGCCAAACCTCTAATTCTTCTTTGATTCTACACATGTACCAAGCCAACGTTGGTAAACATATTTACCTGAAATTTTAGGAAGGATAAATTTGATGATGAATCTAATACAAATCCACCCTTGAGGAATGACCAGCAACCATCCCTGGCCACAACGTTCCCTATACAGTCTAGTGTCGTACTCTCAGTCGTCAGGCTGGCTCTTACAAGAGCTGAATCGGTACTATTTATCTTGACCCAACCTGTTAAAGTCCAAAGTTGACACACAGTTAGTAACTTGTGATGCCTCCTGATAGCTATGGGCTTAAGCAGATGCATTCTGATAATATCGAAGATTGGTGTATGTAAACTGTCACTACAAGAATAACATTGTGTAGGTATGTGCACCTTAGTTGCTTTCGCAGTGTAACAGGCCAATGTCACACCGGATTCAAATACAGTGTTACGTAAATCCTAAAATTAATCATGTATCATTATACAATTATATTACTGGTGGCATCAATGGCAATGCGAATTAAACCATGTTTAAGCCACATTGAATCACCCTTGACTAATTCTATCAATGTTATGGTAGGAATTTGGAAAAATGAACTCAACTGGAAAAACAGTAAATGGTGCCTTGGGTGAGATGTTGCAATGGAATTCCTGTTCCATTGTTTCCAATCTTTGATGTGAAATCTGGAACATGATCTTTGAGGATCCCTCCATCATAAAGAGGCTTTTCCGGGTATGCTTTACACTGTTTACCAATAAAAATCATGAAGTTAAATTGCTAGAACATAAATATGAGTTGAATTGCTTGATTTTCAAATTGCTATAACAAAAATATAAGTTGAATTGCTTGATTTTCCAATCTATATATATATATATATATATATATATGAGATGAAACTCTGCTAATAATATATATAAGTTAAAAATGCATCCTTTTCACCTCTGTGTAAGCAGTAGAATCGTACAGTGGCCCCTCTGCAGTTTGAGAACACAAAAATTGAAACACATTAACATAATTTCATAATATTTAACCTCTGTTGTATTTGAGAGAGAGAGAGAGAACCATAAGGTGAAGCCATGGGAGAACCATATGGTGAAGCCATGGGAGAACCATATGGTGAAGCCATGGAAGGGCCATATGGTGAAGCCATGGAAGGGCCAATAAGGAGAACAAGAACCAAGAGGCAAAAAAATTGAGGGCCTGACATACTCTTTTCTAAAGCCTAGAATGCTGCAAAAATGCAAAGAAATAAACATTATGTTCTGTGAATGAAATGAGAAATTTTTTACAACGGTCATGAGCTATCCACATTTACCCAAATGAAAAGTCAAATGATTCAGTTGACTTTGAATAAATAAAACAAATTTTACACATTGAGGAATCACAACAAATATTATAAGATTACTAATATTACAAATGTGTACAATGAATAAATAATAAAATATATAATTTTTTTAAAATAAAAACAAACGAATATATAATGGAAATAGTGTAAAGAAAGTTTTGGTTTGGTTTGGTTTGATATGGAGAGTCACCTCGGCAAGCACACTATTCTAAAGCCTTTGTTGTCCTCCCTACGTGCAGGTAGGGACGGATCACACAGACACCAAGCTCTAAGCCAAATATTCTCGTCTTGGCACTCATAAAATATGTAAATAGGTGAAAATAAAAAGTGAAGAAACAAAACTAAAGTCAAATATAAAATCCTTTAAGAAAACTCACAGCTTATATAGCCAAAGCCTAAGGCTTGTAACCGCCAAAATAAATTGAAACACATAAATAACCCAAATAAATAGGCCCAATAAAATCAAAATAAATAGGAAACTAACATAAAAATAAATAAGCTCAATATAAAACTTATGCAATAAAGATGTTCTAAAAACTTGTCAAATTCCAATGTTCATTTTCCTGACTTCATTGAATGACCTCCTCCCTCAACTTCTAGAGCATTAATTTCCATCCAATCATATTTCATTTCGATGGTAATAAATTAACTCTTTTAATTGAAAAAGAACATAAAGAGCACAATTAGACATAAAATTAATGATCATTTCATATTGTTGCTTAACAAGTTATCAAGTAATAATTTATGCATGCGCATGGTTAAGCTTCTCAACTCTAAATACATTATGCCCACGATTGAGTCTGTGTACATATAGTTTGTAATAGAAGAATGACAAGTAGTTCAATAGTCGGACATTTCCGACTTTTTTTATGAGTGAAAAATGACGCCATCATGATCATGAAACTCTGTATCACAAAGCTTTATACTATCATTCATTGATCCATGTGATGCTTATATAATTTATCAAGGTGGTGTACTCGTGCAGTATTTTGCAGCAAAAAATAAAATCGAATTACATTAATATAGATGGTTTCAAGCCATTTCAAATAAAGAGAGAAGTAATTGTTCTTTATTGGAAAAGACGAGAAAATTAGAATCGCATAACATTTTTAAAAAGAGGATAGGGTGTTTTAAAGACTTAAATATTCCTTTCATTGGCTGCCATCTTTATGGAAATCAACGGAAGCATAAAAATATGAATGTTTGTAGCATTTACAGCATTTATTCTCCAATGCCGCTCAGTAAATGGCTGCAAAGGAGCCCCCGCAATTGCTAAATCGATGTCTGTTGTCTGAATTCTGCAATGGAAATAAAGAAAATATCAAACTAAAGCTTGGCCTTATGAGCTACCTGACAGAAGCATAATTATTTTTTTATGTATTAGTTGTGGAATGCTTTACCAGTCAGCCTAAACAGGGACAGATCAACTACACTTTAGCAGGCCAGATGTTGGAATTTGTTCGAGCAGACAAAAATATTGCCAGAGGACACAATATCTTCTGTGAGGACCCTCGGTTTATGCCAGCATGGTTCGTAACCTTACAAGTCTTGAGCTACAATTAGCTGTCAACTCCCATATAGAAAGTTCAATGGGCAAATATAGAGAAGAATTCATACACTGGGATGTTAGCAACGAAAATCTTCATTTTGATTTCTAGGAGCAAAAGCTTGGTCCCAATGCCTTCTTGCATTTCTTTGGACAGCACACCAATCAGATCCATCGGCAACGCTGTTTATGAACGAATTTAATGTTGTTGAGACATGTTGTAGTGACACTAAAACCAGTGTGGACACCTACATTTCACAGATGAGAGAACTCAAACGGGGTGGAGTCTGAATGGATGGAACCATCCTAGAGGGTCACTTCAGAGTGCCTAACTGTCCTCTACTGAGAGCTGGTTTAGACAAGTTGGCCACCCTAAGGCTTCCGATTTGGCTTAATAGATCGATATCAACAACACAGTATCTAAGGAAGTTCAGGTGAGCCTTAATGCCAAATTGCTTTTCTTCTAGACAGCACAGCAATCATATCCATTGGCAACGCTGCTTATGAAAACAAAAAATGTTGTGGAGACTTGTATTGACATCAACTCCACCGAGTTCATTGGCTGCCTTCCTTACTGCATTCAACAGAAGCATAAAAATATGAATGAGCATTTACAGTGTTTATTCTGTATTCATGATTCATTCTCCATCGTTGCTCGGTAAATGGTTTCAAAGAAGCCCCTGCAATTGCTATATCATTGTCTCTGTTATCTGAATTCTGCAACAGAAAGAAACTTAAGATCAAACTTAAGTTTGGCCTTTTAGAATATTAGTATAACTTGTAGTCAACCCTCTAATTCTCCTTTGAACCTCCACATGAAAACATATTTACCTGAAAGTATAGTATGGATATATTTGATGATGAAGCTAATACAACCAGTAACCACACTTTGGCCCTCGCCACAACATTCCCTATACATTATTCTGTGGTATTCTCTGTCATCAGGCTGGCTCTTACAAGAGCTTAATCGGCACCATTTATCTTGACCCAACCTGTTAAAGTCGAAAGATTACACATAAATAACTACTTACGCCTCCTGATAGATATAGACTTAATCATGAGAATGCAGGTTCAAGTCTACCCCTCTTTGCAGCCCACATTGGTGGTAGGAGCAGTGGGTAATGGCCTAATATTTATATGTCCACACCACCACCAGGAAGCTATCTAGACTCACTAGATAATTAACCCTTGAAGTAGTAACCCATGTCCGTAACAACTACCAAAGGTTGTAGCTTAGTGGAACATCCTCACCTTTCAAAGTAGAAGGTCAAGAGTCTGAGTCCCCACACGTCCCCACACAGGGATAAAGTGAGTGTGTGAGTTTCTTGCCAAGATAGAATTAAAAATTGAGAGCAATAACAATTCTTTTGGCTATATGATCTTAGTCTACTTTGAAAATTCCATTTATTTGAACCAATGTCACAAATTTGAGTGGATAAAATCATGCAACCAAGCTGATCAAAAACAATCATAGTACCATCTGATGGGTGAGAATGGCTTTTGTAAAGTTAGTGCTGAAATGAAGCCCAATAAGAAGGAAGATGCATAGGAGCAAGATTAAATAGGCAAAAGCAGAGGCAGAGAATTTACATTGAATGAGAACCGAGTTAAAGAGGGATCAGTTCTGATATATCAAAGCTGACCAATTTTCCACAATGATAGATTTTAACTGTCACTACTAGAATAAGAATGTATATATGTACACCAGCAATATTGGATCATATGACTGCAACCCAAGAATTTTAGTTCAAGGACACCTTAATTGCTTTTGCAGTGTAACAAGTCAATGTCGGCATTCAAATACAGTGTTACATAAAATCCTAAAATTGGGAGACACTAGTAGCATCAATGGCAAGGCGAATTAAACCACACTCAGACCATTGGATCACCATGGACTAATTCTATCAACGTTATGATAGGAACTTCAAAAGGGTGAGGTTGAGTGCTCGAACCCTGCTAGGGGCAATATTATGAGTGTGTGCATTGGCTTGAACTTTCGAAAAAAAGAAAGAAAAAAAAAAAAACGAACTAATCATTGGTGCAGTATCTGGAGCCTGGAGCCTGGTTTTTGAGGATCCCTCCATCATAAACCGGCTACCAATAAAATCATGAAGTTTCGTAGTCAAAATTACTCCAACAACCCTGTTATATCTACACTAAAATCACATAATATAAAGTTCTACAAGTTTGTTAATACTAATTTTTTATAGCACTCAAAATCCAATTAAGTTAGATACAAAATAACAACCCAGCCCGAGTAAGTTCATAAGTGAATCTGACACTGATTTTAATTGTAATCTAAAAATTTATAACAAAAGTTTTACCAACCACACGAAGAAGAAAGTGACGAATTAAAGCGTTTTAGATCCAATATTTGGGTCCACCAATGATATTGTGACACAGCCGACGATATGGTACCAGTCCATTTACACTCTTATGTGACGGACACAAATCAGCTGCTGTGCGATTTCCATGTTGTTTCTTACGGTGAGCGGTAAGTGGCCTTAGTTTAGCTACGTTTTACTCCACTTAATAGACACTAAGACTATGTTTGGTAATTGTACCATTATTTATAAGTAACATTTTACGACCATTTATAACTAACATCACAGAAGTCTAAAAGTAATATCACATAATTTAAAAAGTAATATCATCACTATTTATAAGTATCTTCACCCTCAAAACGTGGTGATGTTACTTTTTAGACTATGTGATATTATTTTTAAACTTCTGTGATGTTACTTATAAATGGTGGTGAAATGTAAAAATAGTCTAAAAAGTAACATCACCACCATTTATAAATTTCAGAATCTGGGAATTGTATATTGTCATTAATTCTTTCTGTTAAAACAAGTAGACTCCTTTATTGAATTATTGTAGTTAATGCCTCTAAAAAAAATTGTATTTTTTTGAAAATGCAAGTACTACAAGTAATTTAATAATTTGTTGAATTTATGCTTAATTTGATTAATTTATTTGTGGAAATGCTAAAAATTATTCTAACCTTGGTTGATTTCGTAATTTTATTTGAATTTTCTTAGTTGAGTGCTCAAAATAATGTCCAGTGTTAAAATTGCACAATTAGATCGATTTTTTCAATTGGGTGTCTAAAATTTAGGCCAAAACTTGAATTTGCTAAATTGGGTGTTACATATTTAGATGTATATATATTTTTACATTTTACCACCATTTATAAGTAACATCACAGAAGTCTAAAAGTAATATTACATAGTCTAAAAAGTAACATCACCACGTTTTG